AGGACGGTTCCTCCCGGGCTTAGTAGCAGATCGGCTCGGAAGGTTCAACGTGATGGTAGGAACGTCGATCATCTGTGCGGCGCTTACCCTGGCATTGTGGCTTGCATCAGGGGCGAATATGCCCGCAGTAATTTGCTATGCGGTATTGTTCGGCTTTTGGAGCGGTGCTGCTATCAGTCTCACCCCCGTGTGCATTTCGCAAGTCTGTAAGACGGAGGATCTAGGGAAGAGGAGCGGGACGACATTTACGATAGTCAGTGTGGGTACATTGACGGGCATCCCGATCGCGGGTGCTATCCAGCAACAGAACCAGGGGGAATATTGGGGCATGATTGTCTTCGGAGGCGTGTTGTATGCGGCCTCCGCGGTCGCTTTTGCTGTTGCCAGGGGCATTTGTGCGGGCTGGAAAGTGAAAGCCAAGTTCTAAAGCCTGCGATAGACCAGTGGGACACATACGTGCTACCGGAAACACCAAACGATGTACTATCTCTTGTCGGGTAGGGGTGCGTCTGGGTCCACCAATAATATAATTAGATAAAGAATAATAAAAGTAAGTTACATTGTCATTCTAATGGTTATTCTCGCGTCAATTATCGAGAGCAGTGACCACCACAGTTGTTGTGCTTAGGAGCAGTCTAAGAGGGGAACCCTCGGCGAAGTCAACATTGAGGCCAAGAATGCTTCTCTAGGAAATGAAATCGGCGAAATGCAGGCACCCCATCGCCGCACTCTTCCAAGAAGGATGCAACCATCTCGGCTGTCGGCCACTCAATTAGCCAGGTGGCTTGCTCGAAAAGGTTTTCGATTCAGTGCATGAGGGAGCAGAACCGGAAGATAAGGTGCTTGATGCCTGAACGGCAAATGCCGTGGATATAACCCCTCGGTCTTATATTTGGCACATATAAAGCATTCCTGGTCCCTCCTGCTGTTTGTGACCCTCACCGGGCAATAAATTGTATATTACCTCCACATCATGGATTGGAGACAGAAAGTGACTGGCCTCAAAGCCAGACTATCTTGTCGTTCCACACCTGCTGTGGACAGGGTGGACGAATCACGCAAGAGAGACGCGCAGCAAAGTACACCATCCACTGCCACACCGACGACCAAGTGAGCACCCGAAGTCTCCGATGTTAGAAACCCTTTGCTGACTTCAATCATGCAGTAATGAGACAGTCACGCCTCCGACATATAGTGAGAGCTGCGAAGCTTTCATACCATCCTACTCTCATTTCTACAATGGTACTCGATTCACCGCCACACATAGCCGATAACCCTTACAATTGCCACACAAGAGCTAACGCGGAATAGGGGATCAATGCTTTGGATCTTGTTGTAGGGGGAATGGATACCGCTGGTAATGGTAAACTTGAATTTCATGCGAGATTTCTTGATATACTTACCGACCGGTTTGATGATTTCCTTTCGCTGATCGACGATTGAGGGAGGGGGTAGGGTATTGAAGTACCATATTGCGAGATTTCGGTGGTATTTAACGTTCTATTGGCCCACTGGAGTATAACTAACAATTAATGAGAGGAGCATACGATTGAAATAACAGCATCAACGGCGTGAAGCTGTCGTAATGGTAGTGGGAGTAGTAGTAGGAATAATAGTGGCGGTGGTAATGTGCGCCTTCCGGCGACACTCGGGCCAAACCCATTCGGCGGTGTCATTTGGGCGGGTAACGAATCAGACAAGGCATTCGGCGAACTTGTCGGCCAACTCGTTCTTGGCCGCTGGCGAATTGACTTCGGCGGATTAGTTAAGTAGCCCTTTAAACCCCAGCGGCGATTATCCACGTTGCTGATCTTCTACAAAGTACTGCTCCAAGAAAACGTCATTTTCAATCCGCAAACCATCGGCTCACCGACTGTCGCATGGCGTCAAATTCCCCGAATCCAACAACTCCCCATCAATTCCACACTCGCTCGCCACCTCCTACCATTCGCCCCTATAGATCAAAACGACACCCCCCATGTGACGGATGCCGACGGAGAAAAGTACGCTGCGAAGCCGATCACCATGGCAGCTGTCAGCGCTGTTTAGCTGCGGGTCAGTATTGTTCCTTTACTCGCCTTCGCCCTCGCCCTCGGCCTCACTCTCGTCAGGGCACTGTGCCGCCGAAACCACCTTCACCAGAAACCCGACCGGTCGCAACAAACAACTTGCAAGCCACCGAGGATCTGGTGGTGGACCAAGAAGATCCCCCAGTTGCGCATCAAGCAGTTGATATCCCTTTCTTCGAGCTAGACACGGTGAGAATCTCTGCAGATCCAGGCGGCACACGCCCGCACACGCCTTCTGCCTTCAAAGAAAGACACACGCATCAGACCATCCAGACACTTGATGGTTTGGCTGGTGTATCCTACCAGGTCAATGGCGCGTCAGCCGAATCTGACACATGGCTTCTCAGACACTGCAAATTCAACGACAGAGGCTTCCTCTCCTTCCACCAAGTGCACTTCCGGAACGCAGGGGGCGTTCCGTTTGACGAGAAAATTCCCTGCCATTTTTTGGTCTCGTCGGATCAGCTCTATGAGTCTTCCAAGGCTCAGCTGCTACCGCCAGACCCACTGAATACACATGAGCAATTAAACCACATTGTACCCCCCGAATGTGGCCAGAGATTGGTAGTGCTGTAAGCTGACAAAAATACCGCCGTTGATGCGCTCTGTGGCTGACATGATATGCCGTTCTCTCCAGCTTCATGAAGTTTATTTTTCCGACGCTGCCGATCATTTCGCGGTCACATTTTGGGCTTGCAGCAGCAGGTACGGTGCCCGACCAGGATATCCTTCAAAGGACACCCTTGTGTCTTTTGGCTGCAATCTACGCATCAGCACAACCATTCGCCAAGTTTGATAACTATCTCTGCTTGATCGATGCGTACGCTCCTCCCCCGACTGATCTGCTCTGGCGCATGGTTCTTGACCTTCTGCTACGGGACATCCACACTGCCCGTCTTTCGACCCTTCAAGCAGGAATTCTCTACCTTCACCGACCGATCAGCGCCACCGAAAGTGCTGTGGCTGATAGTGCCTTCACCTGGTCCTTGGTGGGCATGCTTGTCGGCGTTGCCATGTCGCTTGGGCTTCAGTTGGATTGCCGGCTCATGGGACTTCCATTATGGGAAAAGAGGATTCGTCGTCGCCTCTGGTGGGCCATCTACGCCGAAGATAAGTGGCGTTGCTTGCTTATTGGGCGTCCGTCTTACATAGGAAGCGACGATTGGGACGCCACAGATCTGAGCGATGATGATTTCGTGATGTCCGAGAGTCTGCGCCTGGCCCTGCAGGAACCTCCGTCCTCATCACACTCTTCACACGACGTTCTCACTGCTCAACCATTCCAGCAACTCATTCAGTTGTCGCGCATCGCTGATGAATTACAACGCTCCCTTTTGTAGGTCTCCCAATCACGATTGTAATGTAAGGGAGACACTACTGCCACACCAGCTAGGCTTCCTCCACACCAGCCTTCACTGATGCCACACCCTCCGCCTACCTAAGAAGGCAAGACCCGCTCCCTTTAGGGTATAGCCTCTTTGGTATTTCTTACCGCCGTCCCGTTTCGGTAGTTTACTTGCCTGAGCTGCTGGAATTCTGCCCCAAATATAATTTTCTAAGGTGGAAGGCAGTATGGTTCTGTCTGTAATAGAAACCAAGCATCAGCTTAAATGGATGGGAGCTTACCTTATAAGGTAGGCGGAGGGTGTGGCATCAGTGAAGGCTGGTGTGGAGGAGGCCTAGCTGGTGTGGCAGTAGCGTCTCCCTAATGTTTAATCATGCCATACTGACCAACCCCTGGCCCCATAGCACACTAAAGGCGTCGCAGCGATTATCGCCGGATTTTCATGCAACGCTGGAAATTGCCCGTCCCCTTCTACAGAAGCTCAAGGAGTGGTACGCGCACTCCCCAGTATCGGTACGTCAGCCCGATCATCAGCCCACTACTCTGGACAGCATATACTGCCAGTCAAACTGCCTCCGGTTTGCCTGCATCCTCCTAGAAGTATTTGTGTTCCGCGCCCTCCTGCGGCCAATGGTTCGCTCTGCCGCGCCGCCTCCGTTGCTCGAGGAGAACTTCGAGACAACGGAATTTACGAACCAATTCAACGACCTCCTGGCTCAGTTGTTCGACGCCGAAGAGATCGAGCCGTCCATGGCCATTGACATGTCCGATGAGAATGGCATGGGAAATGCGGTGCTCCGCGCAGCCGATAATTGCGCGGCGAAAGTAATTCGTCTGGTGATGCGTATGACTACCAGTGACTTGTCGAGCTTCTGGTATAGATGTATGTCTCGTCCCTTTTGGGTAACGTCTGTGGAAACTCACTCACTAGGCCGCCGATATACTGACCGAGCTAGGGTCTCGTGTCGGATTTGCAACCGTCTCTAATTTCCTACTGCTACTGCTTGTACAAGCGCCCACAAAAGACTACGCTCTCCGTGCCAAAAGCCTTGTGGACCTTTGGCGTCAAACCTTACGGAACCAGAGCACAGGGTGTCCGGCCATGAATCTTGGGTTAGTCAGATTAGATGGCTCTCTTTGGCCTGGTCTGGCGAGAAACTATTATCTCCCAAAGCAAGTGAAAGAAGTCCTAGACGAATAGGAAGCAGTTCTGCGGAGGATGATGCGTGTCTTGCAGATAGATTGAGGGGGCTAACTTACGAGATCAGGCCTCAGAAAGCGCCCCCAGTGCGTCTATTGACTTTCACGATAACCGGAAGATAAAGGATGATATAATGTGCTCAACTTGGTAAAAAGATCATGAACCCGCACCTGGTCGGTGACTGATTACGTCCCTAAGTACCAAAGCTAAAGGAAAGCGAATGTGAGCTGAAGCAAATGACCCCGGCGTCATTAGACACCATATCTCGTGTCGACTAAGTACTTAGCTCAGCTAGCAAACAAATATAAAGTACGATTCCGGATCAACCCCTCACAGACCTCAGTGTGCTGGCCATGATTATGGTTGCTTTATACCATAAAATATCCTATAGCCAGGCCGATGTCATATTTGGACCGCTCATGTACACATTAATCTGCATGGCTTGGAGCGCATCGTTGTAGTATTGTAGCACCTCAAGGGCCTCCCCCGTTGCCTCAGTGGGAGCAAGAAGCCCTTTGACACCCCGTGCTTTCACCTCGTTCAACCACACATTTTGGGCCTCCTGCGAGGAAGTCATGGCGTCCGGGATGGATCATGCCGCTAGTTACAACAAAGCCCAACTCTTCATCAATGACTAAACCGACACGCGCATTCTCATCCGTTGGATGATCTGAAGACCAGCTGCAACTGAGCGGGGTGGTGGTTTCATTGTTGTATGTTCCCGTATCGATGACCTTCCAGCCAATTTCGGTAAACTGGCAGTTGTCGTCGACACTCACGGACATATTACTTGAAGTAGCAAACAAGGCCTCACTCAGAGCTGTCAATGCTGCCCGACTCGCCTTCGTCCGATTATCTGGCGGTGACATCAAGGCCTCATAATTGCTGGGAAGCTCGGCTGCTGAGAAGGAGAAGCCGTGGTCCCCGCGGTAGCGATTGATGAATAGTTCCAACTCGGTGATCTCCTGGTTGACGACCTTGACTCGGCCCCTGAGGATGGACCTTTCCGTGTCGCTGCCTTCGCTGACGTCCAGGGCAAAATAAGCCGACCCTTGTGTGGTATCGATTGCGAGCAAACTGGGTGGCCCTGCTTCCGTGACAGTTCGCCAGGCGGTCATCATCCCGAGCGCTGCGGGGTGCGAGTTTTCCGTAGCCTAATATATTGCAGCCATCGGCAAGGTGTATGGGTTGTGCACTACCATGGAAGCCAGAACCTGATCGACGATAATTGCCATGCACGCTCGGTCACAGTCACCCTTCAATGAATTCGAAGCGTGGTGGTCAATCGACGAGGCGGCAAGCATCGGGGACGCTCCCACTGCGAAGACGAGGCCTGCCACTGTAGATAGGAATAACGACTTCATGGTTGCTCTGATCATAATTCTTAAGTAGTTACTAGCCGAGATAAGTAGGCTAGAAAAGAGACGGCTACTGCTACACTGAAACGCTGACGGAATTGCTGTGCCAAGCTGTCAAATAAATAGCTCAATATATTGATGAAAACCCGGCAACGATTAACTCACAAAGCAACCAGGATAGTCTGACGAAGAGTCCAGAAGATCATAAACCGCCAATGCCCACATTCCGATGTTCCCCACATTGTCCACAGATGAACGCTTTTCGGAATGCTCTCAGGTGTATCGCCTTGGTAGTAACCATACTGTGCTTGCAGAATACTACTAGTTGCTTGGCTACGTAAGTGCCTCATCCGATGTGGAGGCACGGAAAGCGGACCCGACCCCAGACTTTCCGTGCGGAGGAAAGGGTACACCAAGCTTCGAAAGATAGTGAGATTGGCATGATTACGCTGCAAACTATGAGTAGAGTAATTTTGTTGCAGAATATTGAACAGGAGGATATATTAAAGTCCATGCCTACACGTTTCGTATACTTTTCCCTAATTGATGATCCTCCTGGTCTAAGCTTCTTCAAGTTGGGCAGCAACGGTTGGTGGGTCTAATAACTAGTGTCCTTCATATGGTGTTATAGACAGTGTTCGTTGGGTCGTAGAATGTTTTATTGTAGAAAAACCCTTTTGCCACACTTATAATAGCCGTTTATCTTTGATGGTCGCCGAGTAACGAAGTTCACTAAATCATAACCAAGAAGAACGTAATTTTTTGATCGTCTTCAGGGCTTCTTCATATCCCTGCTGAAGGATGTATTAAGCAGTGAGATACTCTGAAAAAATAACCTTTCCGAGCCATCTCGTAGTAGTATCAAACCCCCCCACTCTTCAATAGGGGTAGACCAATAGCGGGTTTTAATTAGATGAAGTCAGAGTGCCCACGAGAGCTCAGGGTAGGATCGATGAGGTATGGCTCAATTAAACCCATCTCGCCCAAGGTTTGATATGCTTATAACATCTGTTTCAGACCCAGAGCAGCCTCTGCTGGAACACTGCATCCTATCCATAATGTACTACTACTACTTCATCGCACCACCCATACCACGTCTACATTATGGTAATTACTCTCCTGGCCCTGGAAATCTTCTTCCCCGTTATGAGATACTATGATTCCGTTATTATGACGATGCTAACGACGCTGAGACGCCCAGACCTTTTCCATCCAATTCGAATCCGCAGGGGTCTACCACGTCGGCACGCCCACTGAGCAGATGCTTGTCTCATTCGAAGGACTTCTCGCCTTTCACGCGGGCATCGTCGGTCTCCTCGAGTATGGGCACGGATGGCGAGTCATAAAGGCAGTCATTCGACGGTTTCTAGCACGGCTTCGCTGGCAAGCTATGGACAGTCCGTACTCAATATATATTGATAGTTCCGGCCCAGTATATTACGTTATCACCAACGGAGAGGATGCAATCCGTATTACAGGACAGGAGCTGGGCTCGTCACTGTTCGGACAGGAGATCAAGAAGCAGTGGGATCGGGGAATGGTGAAACCGGGATGTTTAGGAGCCACATATCTGATCCTGAGGGCCTTTGTGTGCGGGGTGTGGAATAATTTGGCATATTATAAGGGGTGGAAGAAGGTTGCAGCCTTGTAAGTAGCAAGCTGCGCCTCAAATGATAGATAGGATTGATATTGAAGTTAGGGAAGCGCTTCAATAACTGCTATCTTTTGATTTTTCAAAGGGGCGTTGCTGTGCTACATGGTAACTTTGTATAGATTTTCGCAGAAAGCACGGACTGTTGGTCCAATATGACACCTTTTCACCGGTAAGAAGTTTCAAGAGCATCCTGAGCAATGAGCTCGATAATGATACTTCATTAGCCACCATGTCAATGCTAGCATCTAGAATGTTCCCACTTGGGTTAAGCACAAATCAAAAACAGGTTGGGGCCTGGGCTTTGTGCACTAGAAAGGAGAACGGCAATGCCTAACGGGTTGATTGGGTAGGAATTAGAGACACGGCAAGTGGGGATGCGGCCGGGTGGGTACTTGGGAAAGATTTCCGGCGTTTCCCTGTCAGGGGCCGAAGCAAAAGAACCAAAACATGGCGTGCATCCTGGCCAAAGAAAATCTGTTGTTGATTGTGTACTAAGTCTGTCGTCTGAGGTCGGAGATGACTGCTAGAGTAATTACTGCTACTGTCCAGCGTAGCCTGAGCCTGATCGCTGACCTGGCCGGAGCCCGAGGTGAAATACTCGCACGCCACATTTCAGATTGGAATGATTAATTTTTCCGACCAAAAGGAATCGTTATTCGCCTCGACCTCCTCCATGACCATTGGACTTACTCGGAAGGCATGCGACCTCATGCGGGAACCTCGTCGTCCTGCTCTGAACGAGGTGGACCAGAAAAAGACGCTCAGATGACCGCCCGAGTTGTCGTCATTACCTTAAACACGTAACTAATCAATATCGGTCTCAATTCGAAATCTGTTTGTTTGACCTATTGCTCTCTGTTCCCCGGTCGCAAGTTATCCTGCGAATATCTTCCGGGGCGTTGACATGTGTGCTGGTAAAGACCTACCGTGCACAGTATGGATGAATGGATGATTTCATTTACGCTGACCACTCGCCTTGGGCGATATGTAGCATACAGAAACTATACATCAATGTGCGTACATGTGTCCTATACCACTTCTTAAACGAACATGGAGCCTCGTGGGTGCCGGCCGTGGCCTCGTAGCCGTTCGTGGTGTTAGGCTGCCCGTATGGCGCGGTTGTAATGAATTTGCGAATGGAACGGACAACGAGTGTTCGATTTTGGCTGCATCTCTGCTAAGAAGCGCGAGAATGCAGGCAATGCTGAAGTCAAGAATTTGGTCAGTGTAGGAACAGCAGAATAGGTGGATACCCGGAGAAGGGAGATACTATATATCCGCCAGGATTAGTCATGTAATTAACCCACCTGTGTTCTGACTCTGGGGTGGCTACAGGTCGCGTGACCCTACGGGAAGGGTCGCGTGATCCTTACCCTTTACACATGATCAAAACAAGCATTAGTCATCAATAACAAGTCGCATGATCTTTATAATTACTGTATCTTCCTGCTGAATTTCAACTTTTCTTTTAATTCATAATTTACAGTCTAACGGCAAGTAATTACTAAGTACTTACTAAGTACTCGAATATTATGGATTTCGAAGAGCTTCTATATATGAATTCTGATGGAGGATTTGATATACAAGAACTAGAGGTATTTAAGTACTTAATAACTACTTATCTAGAACTTGAAAACTAATTAAATTTATATAGGATAATG